TATCCGAAGTCCTTCACCCGCAAGTGCCTCAAGAAGCCTCGCGTTCATCGGTTGAGCGAAGAAAAGTCAAGAATCTGGCTCGCTATCCCCTACGTGAAGAACGTTTCAGAGGCGATTGCACGGATCCTAGAACCCTTTGGGATCGAAGTGGCACATTGACCATATTTCACAATCAGACAACAAATCATGAAGCCCAAAGACCCGCTGCCAGCAACCGAGCAATCAGCCGTAGTCTATAGCATACCATGCAAAAACTGCGCGGCGAGGTACGTTGGGGAAACGGGCGAAAGTCTGGGCACAAGATTGTACGAACATTAACTTGCAATCAATCGCAAGCACAAGGAGTCTGTAGTCTATGATCATGTGCAACAGCTCAACCACAATTCGCCTTTAAGAAAGCGAGGGTGATCGGCACGGCCAATGAGAAAATGGCCAGGCTAGTGCTGGAAAGTTGGCCCTCCACTGGCACAATCAACAGAGTTATCGACTGGAACCTTGCCTACCAAGCGCTTCGCACCAGGCTCGGATCAAGTCGCCCAGAGCCAGTAGGGCAAACGCGTGCGCAGGACCGAGAGCCAACGCCCACAGAAAATAGGGGTGGAGGTCGGATGTCACGCAACCAACATCAAACACTGTCTCACCGTTACAACCGCGAGGCAAAGAACAACTCTAGCGAACAGCAACGAGTGATCAGTCCGCCGGTTGAGATGGGGCAGGCCGGCAAGCATATTGTCTCGTCGACGACAACGCTGACCGCAGAGGGGACAAGGGTCACGCAAGCCCGCCAACAGCCAATCTCCGGGAGACCAAATATGATCGGCAACGAACGGACAGGTCAAACTTCACGCACCCAACACCGATATAATTTGAGGCAGACGGCAAAGCTGGCTTACTCAAGACCACCAAACAAACTCTGACGATAGAAGCGAGAAGGTTTTCAAAACGTCAGTTCAAATATGATTTGGTCCATGAACCTGCTCCCTCTTCTTCTTCCTTGCCTTTGGGAGATGATGAACGCGATTAAATAAAGACTATAAGTCGTTTTTTCTGTTTGATAAATCAATTTATATAAATCTGACACTTATCTTTTCAATTGGAAAGAACCGCTCGACCTTGATCACTGGAACTCGGTTGTCTCGGTCACGGCTTCTTCTGCCTCTAATGCTCCTGTGGCTGCTTCTTCTGCTGCCGATTCTTCTGCTTTTGTGGCTATTGTTGCAGCTGCTTGCTCTGCTTTAACTGCTGCTATTGCTTCTGTTGTTGCTTTCGTGAGTCTGTCTTCCAGCGTGTCCTGCAGCCACTTCGTTATGTCCTCAACGTCTGTCGGCTTCCAGCTGCAACTGTGCATCTCTGCGACGAGAGCCATGACCCTGGCTTGCCATGCCTCCATTATCTTCATTACTTGTTCTGAGCTCAAAATGTTGTGTTCGTTTGCGTTGTTAGTTGTTCTGCCCCGTATTAAATAACTGGATCTCACCACCGTCGCCAGTTGTTATGTCCCGAGGAGTTAACGGTAAAAGGAGGTTAAGCCGGTTCTGATCGCAAGGATCTCTATTCACGACAATACAGAGAGAGCAGAATAAATCAGCGTGTCCACTGCAGCCTTTTATAAGGCGTTAGTCCTTCTAGACTGTTCCTGGCCTATCGCGCGAGAGGAGGAGTTCTGTCTTGGTTTCCCACGCTAC